CAGAATGTCTTATCAGAGGTGGATAGATAAACTCGCGTAAATTCTTTGATGATATATTGACAGGAGAGACTAGATACACGAGGGTCGGAAGTGACGTACATCCGTCTCGTTCCGTGGTGACAGTGTGACTGGCTTCTGTCTAAAACAATAATAGTGTTGCCATATCATTGGTCCATACACAGTTCGTTCACTGATACGTTACACATATATACACACATCTCCCCCCCTCCTCACGTCCATAAGCCTATGAACGGGCAGCAATACGTTGAGAACGTCGCCTGGCGCCATAACTTCTGGGTTGACGACGTCTACGTGGGCAAGGAGAATCTTGGGCTGGGCGGTTGGGGGCGTCCTCACGCTTGTCCTCCACAGGTGCGTGAGGTGGAATGGGCATAACTCGAAGGAACCGACGATTTCTCCAAAGCACTCGTCCTGAAGGCGTCCGGAGAAGGTAGTCGCGGCTCCGATCAATTCCCATGACTACAGCTACTTTATTCCACCGTCTGGAGACAGGATCTTATATCCAGACTTGCGATCCAATCTGTAGTGGCTGTAATGGTCTGGCGTGCGTGTCGTATAATGCCTTAGCAGTGTCCTCATAGCTATACGGCGATCACACTCTTCTGTCTTTGCTTGCCATTCTGGACCAAAAGATGAGCTGTGGGCTGGAACACAGGAACGTAGAGGATGGCCAAACAAAACTTGCGCAGGGGAACGGCCATCCTGACGTGGTGTGTTACGGAGTTCCAACAATCCACGGTCGAAAGCTTCATTCAGGATACCAGAAGGGGCGACCTTCAAAATTAGGTGTTTCAAGGCCTTCACTGCAGCTTCTGCATGACCATTACTCTGTGGATAATGGGGAGAGGATGTATCATGGCGAACACCCCATCGACACAGAAAGTCATTAAAATCTCGGCTCGAAAACTGAGGTCCACCATCAGTGCGCAGCCGAAGAGGGACACCTAGGTCGCGGAAGAATCTTCTGAAGAAACTAATAGTGGCGGCAGTTGTAGTGTCAGTGCCACAGCATGCTATCACAGGCCATCCTGAGAGTCGGTCAACGTAAACAAGGAAAGACTTCCCCGCTGCACTGAAAAAATCTGCTGACACAGACTCAAAGGGTTTGGTGGGTGCTTCTTGTGTCAGCATGGGCTCTTGTTGCTGACTTGGCAGAAGTACTTGGCAAGGCTCACATGATCTGACTGCATTTGTGATATCTGAATTGATACCAGGCCACCATACAGTCTGTCGGGCACGACGCTTTGTGGCCTCCACGCCACGGTGACTGTCATGTAGGCGAGCCAACACTTCTCGGCGAAGGGTAGAAGGAACTACAATGCGGGGTCCCAAAAGGATGAGGTCCTCATCGTGGTACAAATTGTCATGTTCCTTCCAATATGGGAGTAGGTCAGGGTCCAAATTGTCACGGTTGGCAGGGAAACCATGAGTCACTTTGTCGAGGAGCTTGACATATACCGAATCTTTACGTGCAGACTCGGCAATTGCAGGGGTGAATTCAGCCAGTTGGTTCACCAAGCCCATAAATGATCGGAGGTCTGTCAGAATGACACTTCTGGGGCTGCGAGCACAAACTAGTCAGCATTCATGGTAATGCAATGTGCACGGCATCTCATAAGAACTTCCTGTACTCGCTTTAGGTAAGATGCACAACCTCATCTCATAGAAGGACGTCGTCTACCACCTCCACGACAAAAGCGGAAGCGACCATAAGGGGTGAGGAATGTTGTTAAATGTTGATCTTGCTCTTCTAAAGGTATTTGCCAATAGCCATATAAGGCATCCAAGGTGGAAAAGTACTTCGCCTTAGGGTTGATACGACGTACAGCATCATGAGGCGTTGGTGAGGGTTGGGCAGGGCGGAGCACTTGACTGTTGAGTTTAGTGAGGTCAACAGTTATCCTAACACCTCCATTAGGCTTAGCTACAACCACTAAGGGGTGACACCATTGTGATGGTTCATCACCTGCAGGAGTAATGATGCCCTGAGCCACCATGGAGTCCAACTCTGTCTTGATGTCATCCGGCCAGGCAAAGGGAATGACACGGGGCGTGTGCACTGCAAATGGTTTGGCATTTTCCTTTATGAAGATCCTCATAGGTCCACACATCTTGAGCTTCGTAACCTGTCGGAAATCATACTTCGTCATGAGAACGTCTGAAAATTCTCGAAGGAAAAACTTTGTCGCCTCATTAGGGGATGCTGAGAACGGAGGAGGTCTTGGTGGATGTAGCGGGAACCGTTGTGATGGTTGAGGTGGGGCTGGCTGTTGGCCTATGGCCTCCTGGGGTGTCACTGAAGGGTGATCAGGCATAACATTGGAAGTTGTAACAATTCTTGCTACCTCACCAGGTTGAACTGTTTGCAGGTTTTCACTGGGAAAGCGTTTACCATGCTTTCTGCCTAGGATCTGTCGTGGGTAGTCCTTGGGGATAATTTGTAGCTGTTGTGTGTGGCTCCAGGACAGCAGAGGTCGTGGTAAAGAACTCAACACATTTATCCAACCCTGTATGGTGTCTGTACCATACGTCATGCTAGCATATAATGATCCAAGGACAGTACAGTTCATATGCGATCCATCAGGATTATGCAGTCCGAAGTTTGTAGATGTGTCCAGGTTGTCTGTGGTTCATCCTAGAGACTTGAGAAGGGTAACATCCATCACGGTTGTGTCAGATCCTGTGTCAGGTATGCAGTCTACATATGCTGAAGAGTCTCCTGACTGCACTAACAATTTAATCGTCGGAGATGCAGGGCCTACACGGGATTCAGTTTCAACTGCGCAGACTTTGGCTATGTTGTGCGAAACTTGGGAAACTGAAAGAACATTCCCTTCTGTGGGTGGCATTCTTTTCTTCTTTGATGACTGACAACAGCTGGCAAAGTGACCTACTTTGCCAAAGGTACGGCAGGTGCTAGTAGAAGCATGGCACTTCTTCTTGACATGTGTCTTGTATCCACAATGGTCACAAAGTTCTTTTGGCTGTGGTTGTGGAGACTTGGGAGGGCGACTTTTGGCTTTTCGGCAGGGTCCGTCAGTGTTACCCTTGGCAGCTCGCCGCTTTTTCTGCTTATAAACAATGATCGTGTAGCTGGTTGCAATGGGCGTAGTTCTTGGGTGGTAGACTCGGCAGCCTCACGAGATCTACACACGGTTATTACGTCATCAAGGGTGGCGTCGGACTTCATCTCTAACAGGCGTTGTTTGGTCTCTTCATCTTGAACAACTATTAAGATGGCATGTTTGATTTGGGTCTCGATACAAACATTGCTATGTCCTTTACACAGATCCACACTGGTTGCAGCTTGCTTTAGACGCACATAAAAATCTGTAAATTTCTCATTGTTGGCCTGCCTGCACTGGGAAAATGTGAGACGTCGTAAAGCCTCATTCTTTTGGTCTCGAACGAAGTTCTGGATTCGCTGGAGGACATCGATCAGAGGCAAATCTGAGGCTGGAGACACGCCTAAACTGTGCTCCAGTGTTTCTCTCCATGTCAGCAGATAAGCATGCACGCAAGTGTATTAATTGCTTATGCTGAGGCAGGTTATGCAGGTCAATCATGACAGCATAGTCATCCCAGCGTTGTCGCCATTCTTTGTACGACCGCAGAGTAACATCTTGGGCGAGGGGTGGGGGAGGCTGGACTGAAGCCTTCATTGCTGGAGTACCTGATGAAGGCGCCGAAGCCGGAAGGTCCGTGGCGACAGCAGGCTGTGGTCCTACAGTCTGCGGGGGAGTGGGAGACGTGGTGAGGGTAGCAAACAGCTGCAAGAATCGTTGTTCCTCAGCCTTCCTTCTCTGCTCGTCGTCCTCTCTTCTACGTCTGTCTTCCTCCTGTCTTCGCCTGTCTTCCTCTTGTCGTCGGCGATCTTCCTCTCGTCGTCGTTCCTCGTCCTCTTGTTGATGTTTTTTCCACCTCTTTCCTCTCCTCCACTTCTTGCCGCCAGATTTCCATCTTTTGCGATAGTATATCCACAGCTGGCCGTGCTTCTGGTGGCGATGTCGATGAGGGAGACGGCGTGACTTCCTCTTGTTTAGCTGCTTTTGTCTTAGGCATTTTGGTTTATATGAAGTATATTTCGTGTGTCTGGTGGTTCGGAGTTTACTCGTGGCGCCTCGCAGACGGACGCCGCGACGTCAGAGCTGTTTGGCACGGTCGGCCAATCCTGGACCTCGACGTCACGAAGGGGGCGGAGCTTCTCTCTGGCGGTGTGGTGCGGCGAGGGCGCCAGTGCCGCTGCAGACTGGATGCGCGTTCGTGTTAATCGTAGCTCTGGCCATAATGACCAAAAATGCGGGAGAATAGAATGACAGCTGTATTCCCTGCTCACAATACACCACAAGAGTTCACTGCACTTCACTAACACCACACAAGTCACTCAGACACTTCACAAAATGAGGGTAGTCACTGAACACAGAAGGCTGCATCGCTGGGTCACACTGCCGGTTCCTCTCTTTACTGTCTTTTCACTGGAACTCACTGCGCCATGTGGGTGTGGGATGTCCACATAATGTCTTATCAGAGGTGGATAGATAAACTCGCGTAAATCCTTTGATGATATATTGACAGGAGAGACTAGATACACGAGGGTCGGAAGTGACGTACATCCGTCTCGTTCCTTGATGACAGTGCGACTGGCTTCTGTCTAAAACAATAACAGTGTTGCCATATCATTGGTCCATACACAGTTCGTTCACTGATACGTTACACATTTACACACATCCAGAACTTCGGATTTTTTGTCAAAATACCAAGTATTTAGCTAAAAAAAAAAATGGCCACATGCAGCATTAGGTATCTCCTTCGAGTCTTTAGATTTATGGATACCTGAGAAAAATAATTCTCGCCCTTAAAAAACAAGCAACTGCTTTTTGGCTAAGACTAACAACCATCGAAAATTATAAGTATTTTTTCTTAGTCCGTTGCTCTGTGTGAATGTGCATAAAAGGGGCGTCATTTCTCTTTTTTTTCGGGGGGGGGGAGGGCGCTGGAAAGAGGTAATTGCCCCCATCAATGTCTTCTGGCTCCCCCCCCCCTCAAGGACCACACTCCCACGATTTTTTTCCCTAAATAAACCCTTTTCAGATCTGGCCGTAGCTTAAAAACACTCCTAAAATGGTTAATTTTTCTTTATTTCCTCGTATACCGCGTGTTGGTGTAATAGCGGTTATAACATGAACCGTTTTTTTTTCTTAATTTTCTACGCCATTAATTTGTTAATAATTTCATAGTACAGAACGATGATTACTTTGATTCCCTACGTGTGTCCTCACCGGCCATGTCCTATTATCCTTCCCTCAACTATTCACAAAACCTTTAACCCAGAAAAAAAACACATTAGATTATTTACAACCAATGTTAGTTTTGTATATAGATACCTACACACCGGCATGAGATCCATGGCTAAAAGGGAAATTCCAAAATTGGTAAATTATGTTTCTCACGACAATCCGTTCAAGCCATTCGTGGTACAAAAATGTGAACAAACATAAGGATAAGTCCGATATGCGAAGCTGAGCCTCGCCCGGACTATGAGGGGAGCCCGGCCTGTGTCGACTAATGTCGACTCGCTATCACTGTGTCAGCTGGTGCTAACTCGGCTTTGTCCTTACCCGCCGTGGTGCCCAGCCACAGCAGTAACCTCCAGGCGACAATTGCAACTTCTCGCGCGTGGCTGGGGCGCGAACCGCCGACCCCTCGGATGAGAAACCGACACGTTACCACTGTACTAGCCCGGGAGCTGTGAACAAACACAAAAGTGCCGTTTCCACTGACCGCCGAAATGAGAATTCCAGGTATAAAAGCTGGAAATTGTACTGATACATGCCACCCGTGTGATTCACCGTTTTGAAGAAAGTTGGACAATATATGAAAATGTACTCTCCAAATAGATTGGAAGCGTGAATTACACAATTTCAAAATTACCGACTTTGTCTCTTTTTTGGATATGGTGTCAAAAAGGGTCATGCCTTTTTTCACTTACTGCCCATACACATAAACTAACTTTATTGTCAGAATCCGAAAACTGATCAATATTCATTACATAAATCCCAAGCACATGCACCCGCAATAAACACTATACATGACACAGGTCCCAGTCACCATTAAAATAAGCACACGTTTAAAGGGAAAAGCATTCCTACTGGCGAGGTGTCATTAAAAGATATTATAAGTAGAATGTGGGACTTCATGGTTCACTACAAGCATAGAAAATAAATAAAGATAGAAAAAAGAAACATGTTTTAATGTATCCGAGAAATATATTTGAAAGTTTTCACTGTCTTGCGACTAAAGAAAAGTGTGTAAATAAACACGTAGGAGTCGCTTAGTGATCCTGGACTTTTTCGTTTTCATTTAAGATTTATATAGTCTCCTAAACTACAGATTATATGAATATCTTATTAATTTCACGTTTTTATATGGACTTTGGTTATGTGATTTTTTTTTTTCATAACTTTATATACCAAAACACAGTTTGACGACCTCGTGTTTTGTTGCGAACACGAGTCAAAACCAAAGTTATCGAAGTTTTTGAGGTTTCGGAATGCTATAAAAAAGCTGTATTTTGAGCATCATTCCCGGAACCCCAAGCGGCTTAGATCTATTTTGCAGCATCAATTAAAGATTTCTGTTTGTATTAACAATGAATCATATTTTTTTTTCTTTTTATTTCTGCTTTCTTTTGGCAGTACATAAGATACATGTCCATTCCATAAAATAGATAAAATTTGAATAATGAAAGTCCTTAAGGAAGTGAATATCTGCAGTTTGTTGATATATAACAGGCATTAAGACCAGGAAATGCCTCTGATCTTCGGAGTTATTCTGCTGTGTGGCATTAGTACTTAGTGCATAGTACAGTAATTAAATATCAAATGGTTGATTTGTATGAATCGCAGAAATACACAAAGCGAGACGTGATATATAGCACAATTTTTTGCTTGTTAGGAAAAAAAATCATACCTATGTTTTAAGCAATATCATGCTTTTCTAGGCACGTTTTCATTTGAAACCAAAAAATTTTTTTTTTTTTCTAACTTTATCGAAAAAAGATCTCGTGTTTTGTTACGACCGCGAGCCAAGTTTTCAAAAAGGCATGAAATTATTCACTTACGGTGAAATCTCCTTCCAGTTCTTTTTCCATTTGTTGCAGCATCCGAATGTCGTCAGCGAGAGCGGCCCCGTTAAAGAAGAGAAGGGCCAGCAGGGAACACAGGAACCAGGAAAAAACAGAAACCATAGTCACCCGGTTCTCTGGAAGCATAATATAACTTCAGGTTCTTTATAGACATATATATACCCACATACACGCACATGTATGACATTGCATATATGCGTGCAAGTATATACACAACATACCAACGACTGATAAAGGAAACATACCAATAAATTTCTCTCCAAAGAGGTCAGTTCGAAGTTGCATCGGTTACTTCAGACGCCCCTACGAACAAAACACAGTGTAGGACAGAAATGGAGGCACGGGACGATCTGCCTGCGTGCACTCTCTTTTATAGGGGGCAGAGGGGGGGGGAGGGGTACGCCATCTCTTACCATCAGAGAATAAACAGGAAGACCTGTAAACAAGTACATATGTAGATGCATTCATGCGCGTCTGTATGTGTGAAATTTTGGTGTATGTTGCAGGTTTTATCTCGTATATGCGCTTGCTATAATCATTATATTCCAGCACAAACACATACACTGAGAGAGAGAGAGCGAGAGAGAGAGAGAGGGAGGGAGAGAGAGAGAGAGAGAGGGAGGGAGGGAGGGAGGGAGAGAGAGAGAGAGAGAGAGAGAGAGAGAGAGAGAGAGAGAGAGAGAGAGAGAGAGAGAAAGAAAGAGGAGAGAGAGAGAGAAAGAGAAAGAGGAGAGAGATGGAGAGAGAGAGGGGAGGGCTAAATTTAGACCCAGGAAATTCGGTGGGGCCCGCATACATCAAAATCACTGTTCACAGCAAACCACAAATTCTAACCAACAGTCATTTCACGTAATGACTTAAATAACCAGGCATTCCGTGTAATGACTAAAAAATACGCACCCTGATTACACCTATTGCCTAATTATCCATTTGTTCATTCAGGCAATCAGTGTAGAAGCTTATAATGCCATGTCATCTGTACAGTCAGGTAACAAAGTGCCATTCCAGGTCGGCATGTTGGCTTCTCATTGCCCTGGTGCTGCCAGGTCACCGAGGTAACCTTGGAAAGCTGGCAGGACCGTGAAACAGAGACACTGCCTTGCCGCTACCGGTGACACAGGTCAATGGGGACACCTTTTGAGATACTGCAACTTCCCGACATATTTCTCTTGTTTGGAGCTCCGTACATATTACAGAGTGATAATGCATCAGAGTTCATAGCTGAAGTGATCAGTGTGCTGAAAATCATCATTTCATGGAAAGCCTCGACATCCACAGAGCCAAGGATCTGTGGTTGCATGGATGGGAGACAACAACACCACGGATTGGTGCTTTGGAATCAAGTTTGTCCAGTCAAAATGGGGAGGAACCAGGTCCTGTTCCCAGTGTTGAATCAGCCGAGTTTTCGGGCGATGCGCCCAAAAACGATTTGAGCCGCAGAGAGAATAATATCACTGCCCAGTCAAAAGGTTCCTGTACGAGTCAACTTGCCCAGGCTGAATGCATGGTCAAACGGAGTCGAATTGACCTTGCAGCCAGCGAACCACTTGATAATGCTGTTGTCCCTATTCCACTGGTAGATAGGGTCGAGGTGATCCTCGGAACATTCTCGGTGTCGTCTTGAAATGTGAACAAAATGATCTGTACACCATTGGAGTCAAGGCAGGAGCTCTGAAGGCCAAGCTGTCACGCAACCAGATTGACTTATCCCCTCAGCGCCTTCTGGGAAAGGACTCCATCAGTCGCGACTGGATGGTATCACTGAGAGAAGTCATTACCTTTGAATCGGACTGTGGTGGACAGGGTTTTGTCAAATGCAACTGCGCAGGATCCAAAAAGTGTCAAACAAACAGATGTAAGTACTTTAAAAACCAAGTTAAATGTAACAGTAGGTGCCATACCAGCATGACTTGTGCTAATAAAGTCTAAACTTGGACCTCTTTGACAATGCTTCAATTCAGGGATATATAACTGAAAATTGTTTAGGATAACTTGTATGGTACCTAATTGTATTTCATGACCAGAAGGAATGTGTGAACAGTAGTTTCAATTGCACCATGTCTTGTACAAACAAATTACAAAGTGTGAATACTTGCACATGCATGTATTAACATTTTTAAGAGTTGAAATAAAGTGTGAATAGTAATTGATATCTTTGCGTTATTAGTTCAGTCATTTCATGAAATAACTGGTCTCATTTTTTAGTCATTACACGGAATGACGAGGTATTTGAGTCATTACGTGAATTGACTGGAGGTCACAGCCATTACACGTAATGCCTAACAATGTTAGTCATTACGTAATGACTGGTTTCGCATATTGCCTGTAACATATATATATATATATATATATATATATATATATATATATACATATATATAAGGTGAATGTACTCATTCTGATCACTTAGTACATCTATAAACAGTTGAAGTATTTATAGGTAATCATCGTCTGGTGCTGGAGTCTGTAGGCAGCCATCCTTAACTCTCCAGCAATGGCCAGATTTTGTAAAGATTTCAATGCCCTATTCCACATTTAGGCCTGATAGTTTGCACCTTTGGTATGCTGGAGCAGACTGCCTGATGTGGGGCGAGACTTTCATTTCTTTGGTCTTTCTGACAAAACAGCCAGTATCTGACTTGGTCTACTATTGTTCTGGCACTCCTAGAGGGTGAGAGCAGGGAATTATTAAATACTTCACATGGTTCAGATACGCCTTTGTATATAAAACAGCGAAGTGTATCTGGTGACTGAATAATGTATGAGTGTGCTTGCCTGCCTGCGTGCCTGTGATTTTCTTTGCTTCAGAAATTTTAATCTGGGTGGCGCCAAGGAAGAAGTTACCAAGTCTTCAGAATGTTCGGTTTTTATAATTTTGATTGAAAATATTTCAGACCAATAAAGTCTAGGAAACTGGAAACAAATTGACCAAGTGCAGCATTAGGAATCTACTTCGAGTGACTAAAGGTGTGCATATCCGAGCAAAATGAATTCTCCCTTTTAGAAATCAGCAAGTTTTTTTTTTTCTTTGAGACTGAAAATGAGAGAGAGAGAGACGGAGAGAGTGAGAGAGAGAGAAAGGAAATAGCATGGGCAGAGAGAGGGAGGTTCATGCCCTTATTTGGTCATATTACTGCATCCAAACTGCATTTTATTTTTCTTTTATCTCCGTGCGGGCAAAGCATCCGACTATATCTGACGCGGAACACCTGAGGCGGAAGGCGCTTCCTGTTATGATCTTTATTTCCAATTTATCAACACATCTTATCATCTCCTCTTCTTGTCATTTGTTGTTGTTTGTCCCTTGAAATCCGGGAGGCATGGTCGGAAAGAATTATTTTCGGTATTTTTTTTTTTTTTTTATTTACGTACGGATAGCATTCAGTTTCGCCTTATCTGCTCGTTTTCCCTGTCCTAGTTAATTATAGTATTATACATACACACACTGTATAGTCAGCAGCATATCCGACCAAATGCGTCTAATGCTCTTCACTAAAGTCTATCTGGTAACACTGTCTGGCCTGGGATTGGCAATGACTCTCTAGGTCTCTATCATCGTAAATAAATGTCGATAATGATGTAAACAAGTGGCTAAAGTCATACTGAATCCCATGCGCATGTCACATTTATAGGGAAAGAACAACCTATTGCTGTTATATAGGACACATATTATTGGTATCATATGCAAAATGTCGACATCACCGGTTGCTGTCTTTTCTAATATGAAATGTGAACCGAAAAAAAGAAAACGCGGCTACACCTCCCTCCGTTTCGCCGTTTTATTTGTTTCTGTTTTTTGTGATTATTAAAAGTTTATTCTGAATTGTCATTTGCATCCTTACGCAAAAACTACAGAATTGATATATTGGGAATGAGCGAAGAAATGAGAGGAGGGAAGAATCTATTATTTCACCCTTTTACTCCAGTATTTATTATTTACGTTCTTTCTTCTACACATTTATTTTGCTATTTTTAATTCTTTTGATGTACTTTTGAATGGAGAGGGCAGTCGGTCGCAGATGATCCCCGGAATGGGCCTTCTCTAAGACAAGATAAGTGGTCGTGAGAAAATTACTTAGGTACTATGATCAACAGACCTGCTGCTGTCTTTTCTTGCGTTTGTGTGTTTTATTTTTTAGGTGTTTTTTTATGTGTTCTTGTGTTTTATTTTTCTAAGTAATTTTAGTGTTTATTTTTCTAAGTGATTTTAGTGTTTTAAGTTCGTGTACATTTTAAGTGTTTTATGTTCGTGTTCTTGAACAAGAGTACAATTAGTTATGAGATGGGGATATATGCAGGTAAATAGTGATCATCATTATGACAAGACCAAAAGAAACAATGGTCTATCATAATAAACATTATTGGTATACCATTGTCAGTCTATCAACTAAACAGGCGTGTTGTAGTATATACAAGGCTCAGGCGTAACATCGTAGATTCGTACATGTTTAGTCTTAGCAGCTGTTGCACACACACACACACACATATATATATATATACAAATATATATGTATGTATGTGTGTGTATACAGTGCCTATATATATACATATACATGTATATATGTATATATGTATATATATACATATATATATGTATATATATATATATATATATATATATACATATATATATATATATATATATATATATATATATATATATATATATGTGTGTGTGTGTGTGTGTGTGTGTGTGTGTGTAGTATATATATATATATATATATATATATATATATATATATATATATATATATATATATATATGTATATGTATATTTATATATATATATATATATATATATATATATATATATATATATGTATATATATATATATATATATATATATATATATATATATATATATATAAATATATATATGTATACTGTATATATGTACATATATACATATATACATATACATATGTATGTGTGTGTTTATCTATGTTTATATATATACATCATCTATGTATATATTTGTGTGTATATGTGTGTGTGAGTGTTGTGTATACATATATACATATATATGTGTATATGTGTGTGTGTGTGTGTGTGTGTGTGTGTGTGTGTGTGTGTGTGTGTGAATATATACATTCGTGTGCATAAAAGTGTATATATATATATACTGTAAGCGTAAGTGACCACCGCTGCCATCAGATGTAAGCGTAAGTGACCACGGCAAGCCACTAGATGTAAGCGTAACAGAGGGTCTTGGGGTGGTCAATGAAAGGGGTCTTAACTTGCTGGTTTATTTCTGAAGGTAGATATGAGACCCCCAAGAGACCCCCGTGTCCCCGGGTGGAGGACGAGGTAGTGGAGCTGGACCCTGTGTGGCC